TGTACATCTATTGCAAACACATGCAACAGGGTTTTTTTTTCCACATGTATTCAAGCCCTGCCCAATTTTTAAATAACTGTAGAACCCAGGAACCTCTTGGAAAACTAAAAGTCATGGGGGAAGGAGGGCAAATGGGAGAGAGTAAACCTCTAAATTTGCAAAAGTGATTAAAAACAGAAATAATCCCTTTATTGGAAGGCTGAAAGAGAATGGCTGTTTGGTGCCCCTAGTTCCTGGCCATCATAGAAACACTTAGGATTTGAGGGTGTAGAGGGCAGAATGATTCTCCTATGAGAATGCACATGCAGTCACAAGAAGTGTGTCCAGCTGTAGGCTCCCCACTACAGAAAGGATGTGGACAAGTTGTCCAGTGGAGGGCAATGGAAGTGGTTATAGGGCTGGGGCACATGACTTATAAAGAGAAGCTGAGGGAATTGGGTTCATTTAGTCTAGAGAAGAGAAGAGCGGGGGGGGGGAGGGAGGATTTAATGGCAGCCTTCAACTACCTGAAGGGGGGATCCAAAGAGGATGGAGTTGGAATGTTCTCAGTGGTGGCAAATGACAGAACAAGGAGCAATGGTCTCAAGCTGCAGCAAAGGAAGTTTAGGTTAGTAGGAAGAACTCTATCATGAGGAGGGAAGTAAAGCACTGAAACAGGTTACCCAGGGAGATGGTAGAATCTCCATCCTTGGAGGTTTTTAAGACCTGGCTAGACAAGGCCTTGGCTGGGATGATCTAGCTGGGGCTGGTCCTGCTTTGAGCAGGGGGTTGAACTACATGACCTCTTGAGGCCCTTCCAACCTTCATTTTCTATGATTCTATGAGTTGTTCAGGATGTTAATAGCATTATTGATATCATTATTTATGTATATTACAATAACCCTTACAGGCTCAATCACTGACCCACGGTGCCACCCAGTGCAATAGCAAGGGGGGTGGGGGTGAGTGGAGCAACCACCCTGGGCGCTGAAGCAAAGGGCACCAACAGGTGTTGCCCAGCCAGGGGACGGTGTGGGACAGAGCTGTGAGCAGCTTGTTTGGGGGGATAT